TAACATCTACTGAGATTCCAACCCTAAGCCTATTTCCTTGATGAACTCTATTCTTAGAACGCAACTTGTTCACTCTCTTCTCTGAAAATGTTTATTGAAATAGCACCACTGCACTCCAGCCTGGGCAACAGAGCGAGACTCTGTCTCAAAAAAAAAAAAAAAAAAAAAAAAAGAGTATGCCAATCTTATGTTTCAGTCTCTTGGAATCAAATGCAGTCGGGATAAAGGAAAGCTATTGTCAAAATGCTGAAATATTTGAGTTTTATGAAAAGAATGCTCATATTTTTCCAGAAATAAATCCTAGAATTTCTGAGGTCTGGCCTGCATTAGGGACCATACAAGTTTGGAGGTTTTAGGGGACACTCCTGTGCATTTTGCTAATTCTTTCAAATTACTTAATTGCCATCCTTACCCACTAGCAGATATGGAGTGTTTGTTTAACCACTTCTCTGAGTTTCAAGTGACATATTACATAGTTTTCTCAGGGTCTCCATTAGCTTTGAAAGGTAATGTCACTTTTTGACATTTTCAATTCTCAAAGGTAGCAAACTATGGAAATAGTTGAAACCTATCTGTTCATAAAGCTAAGAACTAAATATAGGAAAACAATTTGGGTGCATTCATTTGTTCAACAAATATTAATTGCATATCTACTGTAATCCAGTGCTTTGCCTTCAAAAGGCCTCAGTTTACAGCACTGTATCAGATAGATATTGTCCCTGCCCTGATGGTGATTTCAGACTAATGGGAATGACCTTGAACAAATAATTTCAGAGATAATCATTTAACTACAACATTGATAGCATGAATAAAAGGGAAGTTTTAGAGGCTATGAGGGTATATAAGAGAGGTTTTAGGGATGGGTTCCTTGAGAAAGTGACATTTTGACTGAGAAAGTTGATGTCTATGAAAGTAAAATCTGTTTCACTCTAGATCAACTTGGCAAATAAAATCAGAACATGTTAAATTTATTTACAACCTGTAATATATACAGCTCTACAGGAAGAAATGCATTCCAAAATGCATATAGCTAAAATTTGCAGCCTCAAACATATATGATTTAATACTATTTAAAAACTGATGCCATCCAGAACTAAGTCAAATCCTTATATTTTAAGTAAAGTCCTTTATTGCAAAAATGAATAAAGCAAGAAAGCAAGCAATAAAGAAAGAGAAAAGGAAGGAAGGAAGGAAGGAAGGAAGGAAGGAAGGAAGGAAGGAAGGAAGGAAGGAAGGCAGGCAGGGAGGGAGGAAAAGGTAGACAACCATTTTAACATGGCTTCAAAAGTAATACAAAGTTTATACCATTGCTGGCACTAGTAGCAACATTGTGCTGGAGGATTATCTTAAAAACAAAACAGAACTCTCTGATTTGGATAGTAAGGTCATGCCCCAAGTGGGAACTGCTAAAATATTTGTTGAGCAAGTAGGTTGACAATACTGACCATCTCCAAGGAATTCTGGATCAGATATCCAAACTGAGGTGACCCTTGTAAAGTAACATAGGTATGCTGATGATTTAGCTTTCCCAACAGTTCCCATGGGCGTTTTATGTCATTACTACCTACATTGCTAGCAATATGACCTTTTTCACTCATGGAATACACAAAAGCTCTGAGGAAGGAGAAATTGATTTGCATCTCAGCTGCATCATCAATCAGCTGTGGGACCTCAGGCAAGTCACTTAATCTCTGTCAGTCTCATCTAACTTCATCTGTGATATGAGGATAATGATGTTTACCTCTTAGGATAGTTGTAAGAATTAAATGAGGTAATGATTGTCATGAAGTAAGCACCATACGTATCTGGTACATTGCAAGGGCTCAAATTTTAGGGTGATATTGATGATGATTATAATGAAAAGAACTTTCAGTCTATGGTATTTACAGGGCTGGATTAAGAAATTTAATAACCCAACCCCTGAAAAGATACTAGCCCCACCAATATAATTCAATATAAATTTTTATTATTTTAATTCACATCATAACATTCACATTCATGTAGCAATTCAAATAGCTTCTTTCAAGATTTTTCTGATTACAAAATGTTGATGTATTTACCAATAGGAACTTTTCTCATTTTGGGGGGCCCATGTTTTGCTACTTCTCTGAGTACGTCCTTAGTTTGCCTACTGGGTAATTCAAATTCCCCAACATAAATTACGAGATGTTAAAAAGTAAAACCAGATTAAATAAATTGTCTGGTTAAATGCTATCACAACTGGAGGATAGCTGTTACAGCCTCCTAATGGAGAACTATTTAATTTCTCTAGCTTCATCTCTCCCTGTTCCCCAATCTTCTACTGCAAGCCCAGTGTCTTTTGGACTTGATTTAACTCTGTTCCTTCCAACCATTTTCAACGCTCACAGAACTTCATGTTTGCTTGTCATGCCACAAAAGAACACCTACTCAGGGAATGACTACTGACGCATAAAGTATTGCTTCCCTACTTCCAACTCACAGTTTGGCCTCACTTAGAGATTCCCTTTACCAAGACCACAGAGCCTCATGCTAGTCACATGGATTAACTTCCTTTCCTGGCTTCCTATGTTTGACCCATTTTCTTGGCTCTCACAAGCTCTCTTCCTCTGGTGGGTCATCATCTCTAGTACTAAGCCACAAGTCAGCAACCACATTAAATGGCCAGCATGGCTTACCAGGAGCTAAATCTAGGAAAACAGCCAGTCTTCCCACTCTAAAGTAGGCCTGTGGCTATGTATCTCTTTTGGGTTGAAGGGATGCAGAACGTGACTGACTATAGCAAAAACAGAGGAGAAAAAGATAAGCTTGATGAATTTGCTGAGTGGAATATCCACAAATTGAGTATTATTGCTCTTATCCTCATACCTATCAATTCCCAAACTCAATCCAAGGGGATGTCTTCTCTCCCTCTAACCTCACTCCTATATACACACTACACAAATATATGCACATCTGTATGTATAATCTTGACAGAATTTCATTTGTGAGATTTTATTGTAATTAACATGATTGAGTCTGACATTCTTTATCAGGATAACTTTCACTTTTATTATGTGTTTTATATTTACACATTCTATGTGAACATAGGTAAGTTTATTCAACTTTACAAGCTTCAGTTTTTTAAAGTATAAAATTACATTATGGGCTACTGGGAGATGCAGTATGTACCCCATAGAGATGTTGTGAGATCGTGTATGTGAGGTTTCTAGCCTACTTCTTAACACGGCTAATAAAAGAGAACCCAAGATCCAAGCCCATGTGATTCAACCCCAGAGCGGAGCCTATGTATTTAGCTCACTAGTGTACACTCAATAAGAGTTGGATGTCTTGGGAGGCCGAGGCGGGAGGATCACGAGGTCAGGAAATCAAGACCATCCTGGCTAACACGGTGAAACCCTGTCTCTACTAAAAAATACAAAAAAATTTAGCCGGGCGTGGTGGTGGGCACCTGCAGTTCCAGCTACTCAGGAGGCTGAGGTAGAAGAATGGCATGAATCCAGGAGGCAGAGCTTGCAGTGAGCTGAAATAGCACCACTGCACTCCAGCCTGGGCAACAGAGCGAGACTCTGTCTCAAAAAAAAAAAAAAAAAAAAAAAAAAGAGTTGGATGTCATTACTAGGATTGTTGTAATTATCATATTCATTGTAGAAAAATTAGAAAATTCAGATAAACAAAAAGAAAAATTACTCATAGGTCCACTGTTAGAGATGACAATTGTTAATATTTTCTATTGTCTTCCCAGACTTTTTCTATGTGTATGTATTTTTTTTTCTGCAAAAAGTACCATCAAATTCTACTTCCTATTTTTAATCTGCTTTCACATTTAATATATTGTTAATTTTTTTTCACATAATAAATACTCTTCTCAGTAGAATTTGTAGAAAAAAAATAGTCTAAATGACTATATAATTTGCTGACTCTGACTAGGTCTCGCATCTCTGATAGTGGTCTTAAACTCCCATATTCCTTGTTTCTTCTTATCCTTGCTAATAGCCTCTGAGGCTTGGGGGCAATTACCCTGGTTCACTGGCTTAAAGAAGAATTTATTAGGCAGAATCTACAACAGAAGTAAGATCCTAGAAATGAAGTAGATTTTCTCTCCAACCTACCGCTATTAAGGAAGAAACAGTGCTTTACAAAATACCATTATAGCACAGTGACTATGGATTTCACTGAGAGCTGGCAATTTAGCAAAACCAATATGGCAGTTCATCATGGATGGAAGATGGAAAGATCAAGCAGAAAGAGAAGTGAACTTTATTAAGACTCTTGGAAATATGAAAATATAAAACTCATTGAAAGTATAGGTCTAGTGAAGTATCACAATCCTTAGCATACAGCTTGGTACCAAAATAAAAATAAGAAAGATATTTATTCGTTTATTCACAAATCATTATTTGGAAGCACAGTTTGTGACAGGTATCAAATCTATACAGTTCGAAGCCAGCACCCACATGAATCTAACTCCACCTTGGTGCAATTGTCCATAGAGGTTTACCCAACCAGCATGCTCTTTCTTTTCTTTAACATCTACTGAGATTCCAACCCTAAGCCTATTTCCTTGATGAACTCTATTCTTAGAACGCAACTTGTTCACTCTCTTCTCTGAAAATGTTTATACCTAACTGGTTCTAAAACTTAGCTTAATATTTTGCAACTTATTTTTTTTCTGAGACATAAAAAAAGAGGAGTTTCCAATCAATTATTTTTCCAAATAGTTTAAAATTGTCCTAGCTAATCCCTTTGCAACCTTAAAAAGTTCCTTGACAACTAGGAGCCTCCGTTTCTTCACATATAAAGTGGTAATAATAGGCCGGGCACAGTGGCTCATGCCTGTAATCCCAGCACTTTGGGAGGCTAAGGTGGTAATATCATGAGGTCAGGAGATCAAGATCATCCTGGCTAACATGGTGAAAAACAAAAAAAAATTAGCTGGGCATGGTGGCAGGTGCCTGTAATCCCAGCTACAAGGGAGGCTGAGGCAGGAGAATCACTTGAGTCCGGGAGGCGGAGGTTGCAGTGAGCCAAGATGGCGCCACTGCACTCCAGCCTGGGTGACGGAGCAAGACTCCATCTCAGAATAATAATAATAACAAAATAAAGTGGTAATAATACATACTTTGAAGTACACATATGAAAATTAAATAATACATGATGATCCTTAACATGTAGTAATAGTTATCATTTTACTAGCCATAAATGTGGATTTGCTCACTAGGATCATTCATAACAAACATCTCTTATTGTAATAAATTATATTACAGTGATGTTTGCACAGACTATAATGGTTTATTTTCATTTACATTAAATATTCAAAAGCTCTAATCTTGAGCATGTACATTTACATATTATAGAGGGTTTTAGCGTTTCTTTTCTCCTCTGTATCACAACACTGTTTCAGCTATTACTTATTTCCCTAGCCTTCTCTTTGTACTTCTATCGAGCTGAAGGGATGGAGGGTTATGGGCTGATAATCTAGATTGTAAAACTTGCTGGAACTATGTTAAAAACAAAAGTAATAGGACAAAGGGGGCCTACACTTATGAAGCACTAATGTGCCAGCAACTATTACAACCATTATTTCTTCATATCCTCAACATAACGTTTTGAAGTAGATCTTGTTGATCATTTCCATCTTACCGTTAAAGCCGAGATCTAGAAAGGTTAATTCCTTGCAACTTTTTATTCTCCATAGTTGATGCAGTGGAGTTTCAACAAATGCTTATTGGTATTTGTTCAACTATTTTTCCTCTTTATTTTTGAGAAAATCCTAGAGCAGAGAATTTTAAGAAGATGATCTCTCCTGCTTTCATTTCCATGTTGGCACATGTCTTATATGTCAACATCTCTCTCACCTCCCTTTGATGCAATGATAAAAACTTTTTCCACTTTAAGAATGAGTCTGGACTCTGTGGTGTCCTTTCCTTGGTCTATCAAGATCATCCCTCAGGAAGCAGAGCTGAATTCTGGAACCTGGAATTCCAGCATCTCCCCAGGGAAGTAGCCCTCATTAAAATAATCCCCTTTAGAAAAGAGTCTTATTTTCACTCATACAGCATTGTTGCTACATGTACTTCTTAGACCTGAAGATTACAAGCTAGATTTTAGCAACATGTGAATAGTTTTGCTTTTTTGTTCTCCAGAAAATAAAGTATAGAAAAATAATCATGATGACTTTAATTTCTTCAGTATCAGTAAATCTCCTGGCCATACATTCATCTAAGAGCCACATTGCTTAGTTAGAGGTTAGACTTGTGTGTGCATGGGGATTGGATGTTTGCTGAACTGTTTGAACCCAATTACAGAAAGTCACCCAGTAAGTAAACACAGTCAGATATATGGTCACAGGGAAAATGCAGAGAAAAATAATGAAGTATTTCGCAGGAGAGTCTGATTTATTTGCTAATTGGTAATATCTAAAGAAGGCAATATTGAAGAATGCAGGCACACTAGGAGTATTTCTCAGCCAATAATCTAAAATTATTTTTAACACACAACCCCACCAGTTGCCTTAGTCTCTTGAGTTCTATTGTCCACACTGCCCCAGTTTTTTACTGGATAGACACATAACGCCTAGGTCTGTATGCACTGTATTTTTTTAAATTGAATTCAAAGCTCCTCTAGGGAAATAAGTGATCACTAGACAAATGTTAGTGGCAATGCAATATCTTAGTAGCAATCATTGTGATGGTTAAGTGTAACTTCTCTTACAGAGGTGTAAGAGGTCAGAAAGAGAGAAAAAAGGAACTATATACTTACCTAGAGTCTATGAATCAGGCCATATACTAGAAAACTTATGCATATATCTCCAGAAAAGTAGGTATTATGATCCATTTTACAGATCAGTTTTACCAGTAAGGGCACAGGCTCAAAGATCTTGAGTAATGTCTCAAGGACACTTGGCCAGTAAACAGTAGAATCAGAACTAAAAAAAACAGGTATCTGACTGTAATGTCTGCACTGTTCTTGCTTCAAGCAGGGAAACAAAATCACTGATGCTTGCCACGAGATAACTTCAGGGTAATTAGCATATGTTAGGAGATAGGTGCAAAACTGAAAGTTACAGAAATAAAATCAAAAGTTTGGGGGTAGTGTTAAAGGGGCCACTCTTGGAATCAAGTAGAAAGCATTATGGCTGCATGAGAGAGATGGGAGATAGGGAACAGTTGAGGATATAAGCAGTGGGATCAGCATGATTGAAGGAGGGCTACATGGAAGAACAGTATATTCTATCCAGATGAATAAAAAAATTGAAGAGTATCTTCAAATATTTCTGAGCAGTTTAAGGCTAAGGGAAATCCAACAACGTCTAAGGTAGGTCCCCAAACTCAAAGGAACCTATAACTGCTAAAGAGCCTAAGTGGGGGATTCAGGCTTTGAGGTCTCTATTCTATTGCAAGGTAGCTGTGAGTTCATTACTTCTCTGAGTTTCAATTTCCTCATTATTGGGGGTTCTCATAACACCATTCTTGAAGTGTTGTTTTCTCTTGAGATATATATTAATACCTAGTTGCATCACTGGAGCCTAATATATGATAATGGTGGTAGTGGCGGTAGTTGTGGTTGTGAAATTCATATTGCCTTAACCCTAATAAAAGAAAAAAATGGTGGAAATGGCAAGGTAACAGACTGAAATAAATAGGCACGCCTATTTTTGTTGGCATTAAGTTTACATAAACCAGTTCCTGTCACTCAGGTGGGTCTTAACCCTGGCTGCACATGATAATCTGTTTAAAAACATAAAAAATGACACTCCCTCCCCAGAGATTATGATTTAATTATTCCAGACATATACCCATGTATCTGTAGGTTTTAAAATTCCCCACTAAGTCCCATATGCAACAAGGGTTGAGAATCACTGCTTAACAAAACAATGCTGCCCAAGGATGACTTTGCCTTAAGACTTCTCAGCCCTAGATAAACCCACTGCTAGAGGCAAGGAATAAAGTAAAAAACGATTTTTGAATGGCCTTGGGTTTTGCCTTTGGGCACTGGTAGTGAAGTATCAATCAGGCAGAATCTGGAGGCACGAAGCCACAGAATTTCTGTACCCCTTTTTAATAATGTCTAGCGACTGCCTTACTAACCTGTGTGTAGATGTACTATAACAAAGCACAATTTCAAATTAGCAGTTTTTACAAGTAACATGCCGAAACTCTGAAGGAATAACAATTTTAGTGGAGGAGATATGATGTTTGGCATCCAAAGAAAAGGATTCACGTTCTTTAATTCAGCTACTTAGTTCATATCCATTCTACCAAATTCTAACATATGCAACGTTTTAACCTGGACTTTTCTATAAGTACCCTTGGATGAGAGGCCTGGTGCATTTGTGATGGGTTGGTTGGCTGTTCTGTTATTTGAAGCTCACCCAGGAGACTGCTCACTCTGGAGGCAGCACCCTGAAGAGCTCTGAGTATCACTATCAGATTCTAGATCTCAATCGGTGAGAAATGTGAATTCCACCCACTTGTTTCTCCAGTTTACCAGCACCAGAAAGGAATGCCCACTACATTGAAAAAGTAAGTACTAATATAGCAGGGGCGTAATCTAGGGCCCCTGTTGGAAGAAGCTATGGTTTGAAGCTGAGCTTATTTTTTAAACTACTGCCATTTATTTCCCCTTTTGACAGAATATGGGTGTTAAATATATATATATTTATTATTATTATTATACTTTAAGTTCTAGGGTACATGTGCATAACGTGCAGGCTTGTTACATATGTATACTTGTGCCATGTTGGTGTGCTGCACCTATCAACTCGTCAGCACCCATCAACTCGTCATTTACATCAGGTATAACTCCCAACGCAATCCCTCCCCCCCACCTCCCCATAATAGGCCTCGGTGTGTGATGTTCCCCTTCCCGAGTCCAAGTGATCTCATTGTTCAGTTCCCACCTATGAGTGAGAACATGCAGTGTTTGGTTTTCTGTACTTGCGATAGTTTGCTGAGAATGATGGTTTCCAGCTGCATCCATGTCCGTACAAAGGACACAAACTCATCATTTTTTATGGCTGCATAGTATTCCATGGTGTATATGTGCCACATTTTCTTAATCCAGTCTGTCACTGATGGACATTTGGGTTGATTCCAAGTCTTTGCTATTGTGAATAGTGCCTCAATAAACATACGTGTGCATGTGTCTTTATAGCAGCATGATTTATAATCCTTTGGGTATATACCCAGTAATGGGATGGCTGGGTCATAAGGTACTTCAGTGTTACATTTTTAATAATTTGTGAATCAGAGATAGAGTGGAGAGTATAGATATCCACACTGTCTTTTGGATATCTGTTGAAATGGCACAATAATCATTTGGTCCAAGGTAAAGCTTTTACTGCCTTGGGGTCAATATTATAATATCTATCTATTAGGTTTATTATGAAGACTAAATGTGGACCTGTACATAAAGCATTTAGCACAATACATTACCCCAAACCATAGCTATTATGATTAGCTTATAACTATTTTTTTAGTAAACACTTTTCAAACTCAACACATATGTAGGCAACAGGCTCAAGGAAAAGAAAGAGTTTGGGAACACCAATGCCAAACATATTTATTGGGTCTAAAATAGTGAAATAGGACTTGACACCAACACTGATAATATCAACATGCTAATAATAAAGCCATACAAAAAGCTCAATCAGGTAATCCTGTGAATTTGGAATGTGTGCTCATTTCAGCTGAATTTGATGCTTTAGATCCTTTCCTGATAACACATGCAGTGTGCCAGGCACCAGGGATGACACAATGCCCTACCCTGTAGGATCTTTTCAGTCTAGTGAAGAAGGCAGTCTTAACCAAAAAATAATGACAATACAGTGCAACAAAAACAATGGGAAAGC